GCAGGTGCAGCGCTTTGTGAAGCTCGAGGCGCAGATTTCGTGGCAGGTGCAGCAGTTTGTGAACCTCCATGTGCAGATTGCGTGGCAGGCGCAGCACTTTGTGAACCTCCATGTGCAGAATTCGTGGCAGGTGCAGCACTTTGTGAACCTCCATGCTCCGTTACAGGCTCTGGCTGTTGCGTTGTCGGCGGTTGTCGGCGGTTGTCGCGGGTTGTCGCCGGTCCGTCCCTCCTTTCTTGACGTGCAGATGTCGTGGCAGGCGCTGCACTTTGTGAACCTCCATGTGCAGATTTCGTGGCAGGCGCAGCACTTTGTGAACCTCCATGTGCAGATTTCGTGGCAGGTGCAGCGCTTTGTGAAGCTCGAGTGCAGATTTCGTGACGACGAGGCCCAGGTTCACGAACACGACCTGCTTTCGTCTGCGCGATGACAAAGAGCTTGGCTATAGGGTTTTACGTCGGCAGCGGCAGAGTGGGGTTTTACTTCGGCTAGTTGTGGCTGTACACACATGTCTGCGCAATACCTCGTACATCCGCCGTGCACATTACTCCCCCACGCCTCTCTCCCACCCCTCTGTTGGTTAATCCTGATATAGTTCCTGACAAGGCCATGTTGTAGAAGCTATTGAGACTCTGACTGCTTTGTGCTTTAGAAACTTGAGATTCATATGTGGGGTTATCCGGTCCTTTAATTTGTGACACCTCCGGACCCGCAGCAAGCACGCAGTCGGGCCTTGACAACGCTATGGAACCCAGTCATTTTTTCACCTCCGGGAAGTGAGGTTTGCGAAACTGGTGGCCATGGCGAAGGACATCAACGCGGACGTGGTGGTCTTAGGCACGATGTGGCTGGCATGGTTTTGGGCCCTGTGGCTTGCGTGGCCCAAACAGTCTTGTTTGGGACATGGGGTCCGCAAATATTGGATCGAATCTCACCCTGGCAGTTGCGGGCGGTGAAAAAATAGGGAAACAAATGGAAACAAATCATTTGGTTTTGCGAGGTTTTTGTGCTCTTGGACTCGCGCATGGCAGGAGGAGACATATTGAATTTCCCTTCAAACTCAACGGCCACGTGGGTGCTGGAGCAGTTGAACTTGGCAGGCAGGATTGCATAGGGATGACGCAGGCGCCATGAGGAGGAACCGCACTGGAAGTTCCTTGCGCTACAGGAAAAATTGACATTAAACATGCAATGTAAAGCAGGGTGGCCATGTGGTCTTTCAACCCACCGTCCCTCGCCGAGATGAATGATTTGGATGCTGTGGTGAAACTCGATCTTGTCAGAGGCTGTGGCTTTATCTTCACCGCCGGCAACCACGATTGGCACTTGGAAGGCCAGCGTGGCGCTGCCAGTTACGATGCAGCGCGTGTGCCTGAGCTCTTTTCCACCTTCAGGCGTGGTTTCCCTTTGGTTCTGTTTACGGCCTAGGAGACTCCTTCCCAAATTTGTTTCTCTCACCGTTTGTTCGAATTTTTAAATTCTGTTGTGTGCCGTGCGTTTGTAGGTATTTTTGTTTGGGGTCTGATGTGTTGCAAGATGTCAGAAGTGTCAGAAACTGTTGAGGGCATGACTGCTTGAAACATGGCTGCTGGCCGTCCTGTTGTTGTTTTCGGTCCGCGGATTGGCCGACATGACCCTTTTGGAGGCCTTTCTTTGAACAAAGTCTCTCTTCCCGTGGCTCTTGTTATGACGCCCTGGGTCACTGGAGCTCTGAAGGGCTTGGCTTTCTGTACGGGTGTGCTTTGGTGAAAGGACCGGCTTTGACGTTCTTTCGCGGGGAAGGACGGGGTTTGGTTCCACGTCGATGTTTTACCTCACACACTCTGACATTGGTTTGCAGGTAACTCAATTCCCAGGACAAATGGCGATGGAACCGAAAGGTGAAAGAGTCGGAGCACTTGAAGGTGTCTTAACAAAGGAGTTGCTCACTTGACTGCGGAATCTAGTTACTGCATTAGCCCTTTACTGCAAGAACGGTAAGGTGCAAGGGTCCGAAGAACAGAACTGTTTAACAAACGCACTAGCACTTTACCAAAGCTAAGGAAACCTGTTTTGAGGGATATCATGCGAACAACCACCATCGAAACAAGTGGAGTCACAGCGTGTGCAAAAGTTTTCATCCGCGCAGGTACAGAAGTTTGCGTCCAAACTTCCATCCAGTCGATTTCCCTAGCTTCGTTGGCGTGACTAGGAAATCGACCGTCACGCCCCCTGCGACTTAAAAGTTGAGAAAAACAGAAACTCTTAGTTACAGAGGTGGACACACACACAGAGGAATATTTCCCCTTCCTCCCTTTCCTGCTTGTAAATTTGAGTCTACCATAGGGAAAGTTTTCCTTCCAATGTGTTCCACCATTGCTTTGCTTCTTCCCCGATCCCGTGGCAGCTCGGCGCTCTGCACTCCAAGAGAACCAATGTTGCGTCCGGGCAGTGTACCCATACATGCACCAGGTTCAGGCCCAACAACCTAGGTTCCCGGGTCAGGTGAAACCGGGACAAACATCAAAGGTCTTTGTAGATGCGTGGACTTGGACTTGGAGCGTTTGGAGGACTCTTGCTGCTCTTCGTGGATAATTCCAACTTCCAGGTGGATGATGATCAGCTGGAGTTCACGCGTTTGCAGTTGGCGAGCGCAGCGGGAAGAAGAATGCCAGCGACTGGGTCAACAAGTAAGATCTGCAACTTTTGGTCATTTTCAACACCTCATGTGACGTTTGAGTGTTATTCACACCGGTTTGCGGTCGAAGCCGCCCGCACAGAGTAAAGGGAACACACACACACACACACACATACAGACATAGACATCCATCCATGCATACAGACACGCATACATGCAGACACACATCCAGACATACATGGGAAAAGCGTGTCATTAGCACCCTACCGGCTCGGCAGCAGCTAGCCGGGAACTAGCAACTTGTGCTCTTGGAGCTGGGAGGAAATGTTAACCGGTGTCAAGGGTGTCTCAGTCTGTCTGTCTCGGTGGGTCTGTCTTGGTCTGTCAGTCCGTCTGTCTCGGTCGGGCAGGATGCACGGACGAACGCCCGCACGATGTCAATTGTCCGTCTCGCTCTGTCTGTCTCGGCCGGTGTGTCTCGGTCTGTCTTGGTCGGCCTGTCTGGCTCGGTCTGTCTGTCTCGGTCAGTCTGTCTCGGTCTCGGTCTGTCTCGGTCTTGGTCTGTCCGTTTTGGTCTGTCAGTCTCGGTCGGTCTGTCTCGGTCTCCGTTTCGGTCTGTCGGTCTCGGTCGGTCTGTCTCGGTCTCGGTCTGTCTCGGTCTCGGTCTGTCAGTTTCGGTCTGTCGGTCTCGGTCGGTCTGTCTCGGTCTATCTGTTTCGGTCTGTCTGTCTTGGTGTGTCTGTCTCGTCTGCTTATCTCGGTCTGTCAGTCGGACAGGACACACGGACGAGCACAGCCACGATGTCAATAATGCAGTGTCTCTGGGTCGCACATGCGTCTGCGATGCCGACAATGCGATGTTGCCCCGCCGGCGTAACCGGCATCGCGAACGTTTTGTCCAGTTTTTATCAACTTTCAAAAGGCACTGCAAAGCACAGCATTTCGTACTTCAATGTAGGCCCCCCACCAAGCTTAAGCTGAAGACTTAATCGCCCTCGGGACCTTCGTGTGTAGCTCAGTGGTTTAGTGTGTGGCTCAGTGGTTGCCTGGGGCTAGGTTGTGGTACTGCTCCATATTCCGCTGCAGCTGCCTGGCCTGACGTTGCCCCCAAAAGAGCTGTGCGGACATCAGCAGTGGGGCAGCGACACCGACGCAGTGTCTTGTCTTGGATCAGAGGCTCGAGCTTGAGTCAACCTCACCAGTGTCTCTATTGACAATTATCCCGCTCATTTTGGTGGTCGGGGGCTCAATCGTGTTTGTGGTATTTCCATGGGGCTGTTCACTTGAGAGCTTGATGACATTGTATCAATGGGTCAGTAGCGGTTGGTGTGACAGCTTACACAGCCAAATTTTGTAGACAACCTCACTCCGCAGTGTTTCGGGCTGTCCCGGTCCCTTTCTTCCCAGTTGTGGCAAGTGGAAGATCGTCCGCGCTGGCCTCCCGCGAATCGGCCGAGCACCCTGGCCTTTCGGGAGCTGCTTCGCGCGCACGCAGCGCCTATGGGCCCCATCGCCGCGCTGTTGTCAGGATGGGGGGGCCGCTTCTGGGGTCTCTGGAGGTGACACGGGACAAGATCCAAAACAGTTCGTGTCGAGACTCGTTGCCCAAGATGGCACCCCGGTCCAGGATGCTTGATCACTGTCCACGTTTGGCCGGCAGGACACACTCACGAAGAGGCTGCGGTAGCACTGGGCGAGTCGGACTCGGAGTCTTGCACCGCGACATCTGCCTGCTGGACAGTGGAGTCCCGGACTGGGCAAGAGCCTCCAAGCCAGGTAAGGCTCCGAGAGGGTCTTTTTTGGAGATGGCTTTTTGCCCGTGGTGGGGCCTGCGAGTCTGACAGAGATTTTTTGGAAGAGAGGCGTTCCACTAACCCGAGGTCAGTGTTTTGATGTGAACCAACCCCCGTGCCAAGGTCAGCGATGCCTTGCAGTACACGACCCGCGCGGCGGCGGAGGGAGCTTATCGCATCCTCACCATCTCTTCGTGACTGGATGCCGCGCAGGGTGGATCGGAAGGACTCCCGTCCCCTGCAAGGGGCAGCTGAGCCATGCAGCCATGGGTTTTCGCCAAACCCTTTCAGGCAATCAACAGGAGGTGAGGACCTTAGGATCTTCACTGATTCATCGATGTGGGCAGAACCATAAAGCGCACATCACCATGTTTCACTGAGCTCCATCGAGTCCACTGAAGCGCTTCCGTGGGGAAATGCAGTAATGGAATTCAACAATGTGGGCCAAGCGTGTCAGTCATGTACCATCTCGCAGATACGAGCTTTCTTGATGTAGATCATGCAGATCATGCAGACATGAGGTCAGTGAAGCATCCTTTGCATTGCCTCTGTAATGAGAATAGGGCAAGGAAAATTCATGAGCAGGTTGGCTCGTTTGACACGTTTGGTCTGAAGCGTTTGGCCCTAACTTCCCGAACTTGGGCGTTAGGGCCCGATGCTGGGGCTCGACTCTGCGCTCAAGCGGCTTGGTTGGAATTTGAGGTGGTTTTTGTTATGTTTTTTTAAACATGTTTTTGTTTTGTTTGTGGCGTTGTGCGCAAGGCAATGTATGGGTTTTGTCAATGAGTGGGGCCTGGTTTCCAACACTTCTTTTCATTTCGGGACCGAGGCAGGGGTTATTTTCCACTTATGTGGCATTGTGGACCTCGTCGCATCTTCTGGTGTATTCGAGCCGGTTAGCCAATGCTCCAAGCTACAATGCCACTTCTGTGGTTCTTTTGACCGAGACTGTCAAGCTTTTCCTGGCTGGAGCTATGTATGTGGCCCCTGGGTCTAAAGACGGTTCAATGATTGTTTGCCTGTTGCCGCTGCCTTCTGAAACCCCACATCCAGAGAGGAGACTGGGTTTGAAATGCGGTTTGCTGGCTGAGTTAAAGCCATGCCTTCCTGAGGCCTATGATGGTTCGTTCCAGGAGATGCTTCGGATATCCTCACAAGAAGTGCGAGTCTTGTTGAGATATGCAATTCCTGCCTTGCAGCTTGGAGGGTCCTGGACCACGTTCTTTTTTGCGGCATTTTCTCACCCCCATCATTTTGGGGGTCGGTTTGGTTCGTTTTCGGCACGACTTATCTTCGGAGGTGGCCTTCAATCAAGCACCGGTACAGACCCCCCCCCAGAACTCCTCGCGAACCAATGCCAAAGCCTTCTATAAAGGCCCGGGAATTGAGCTGTTTAAGTCTTGACGTGATTGTTTTGGCGCCTTTCAATCCGGCGTTTTCAAGCCTGTCACCGACTGGCTCGTCTGGCTCGTCCCGAGTCCTGGCGGAGTCCCCGAGTGGGGAACCGAGGTTGTATGCGCTCTACAACAACTTGCTCTTCATCAATCTGGCATCTTTCGATCCAGGAACTTACAATGTATTGATTCAGCTGAAAATCGCAATGACGGGCGTGTCCGCACCCCAGGGGTACAACTTTCTGCAGCGGAAGCAGGGTGGGCGGGAAGTTTTGATGGCTACAGGGTTGCTCCGGGTGGCACAATGGTCAAGCATGTCCCCTCAAAACAGGCCCACCTCTATGGTTTGCTTTCAGTTGACACTTGTGGTATATATCTTGTGGTATGCCCAGCAGGTAGATTTAGACATCATGAATCATGAATGTCATGAATCACAACATGATAGTAACAACAGTGACAACCAATTTGAAGGGAGAAAGAACATGGAGTCTTCAGCATTGAGGGAATGGTCACCTCACTTGCGTTTGTTCAAGTTCTCGTTCCAAACACTTGAGCGACCCTCCTGTGCCGCTGTGCTCGAGGCTGTACCAGATTCTGTTTTCCAAGCAGCTCAACCGGAACCAATGGGCGGCCATACTTCTCATCACCCTTGGCTGTATGTGCAAAGAGTCTGGCAAAGTCACCAAATTTGGTTTCCAGGCCGTTGCGTGTTTCTTTTGTTTGTATTTGTTTTGGACCATTTCCTTCAGGTTGAAGGCCACTCCTTTGGCTGCTGCATTAGGTTAGGTTAGGGTCCCGACTCGGTAGACTAGGATTTGTGCGTGCTGAGAGTATGCAGCCTCGTGCTTCCTCCCAAACTCCTCGGGCATGAAGGTTTGATCTTTGGGAATCTATAGCCATGTGTGTGTGTGTAACCCTTGGAGTCATAGGGATCCTGTTTGGATTTGATGTGGCCTTTTTCCTACGCTTTTGGTTTTCTAGTGCAGGGGGCACCGGGGGGTGCTGATGAGACCGGTGCTAACAAAGACACTCATCAGTCACCTGTGATACAGTTGGAGACGTCCAACTGCGTACCTGCGAATTTTCCTATTTTCTGCATGGCGTGAGGCTAAGCCAAGAACCTCGCAGAGTTGAAACTTTGATGTTTTCTTGCACTGCAGATGTGAGCGTACGACGTCATTCTGTCGATCGATCGTCCGGTGGTTCCTCTAGCATTGATGGCCTCGCTGAACTTGATGGACCTCCACTTCCTTTTAGGTTTCTTTACCTGTACCCTTAGGAATTGGAACCCTAGGCCGGCGTGTGGCACCGCATTCACATCAGTACGCATATCCATGAGTGTGTTTGGCTTCGTGCCAGCCCGGGATGAGCCCGCAGAGTGCCTCCCGTGGACCCGTCGAACGGGTGTACGTCTTTCTCTCCCTTGCTTTGGAGAGGTAGGTGTCCGGAGCGGACAGCAGGTGGCCTAGGCCGTACGTCCGATGATCTTTGTCTCATCTTTGGAATTCCAAGTTGGCCTATGCCTTTACGTGACCGCAGCGGTCCAAGCTGGCTTAACGCCTCAACGTGGTCATAGCGACCGAAGTACTTTTGAGGTTCACTGGAACCTGTCGGAGCCTTAGTTTTTTAGTTGATCCTCCTCCTCTCGCCATGTTCCCTTCTCCGACTGGTCTCCACCCTGTGGACGGCATCACGATGAGGGTCCAGACTATCCTACATCGAGAGATTCTTCATTTACATGGTTTATCGATTCTCGCTATCTCCCTCATGCGCACCCGCTTCGCCATTCTCAACCCTTCGTTTATGGACCACATCACCTCACCACATATTCAGCTACAAATTCGAGGCCTGGACTCTGCGATTCGACAGGCGACCCAGGCTATCCACAATGGTGTGCATTATATCCAGGAACTCCTCACCACCTTTGGGATGATGCATGCCTTGAATTGCGACACTACTCAAGTGGATGCTGAACTACGTGGATGCTCGACCTTCCCTGACCCCCGCCTTCCATCTTTTCCTGCTTCTCCTTTGGGCCCGGCTACGACTCGAGGTATGACATCTACCAGTTCCATTCCGGCGGCATCACCCATACCGCCACCGAGGACCCCTACCATTCGTACTCCGCATCGACCTGTGATTAATCGATCCAGTACAGCACCGTCTCGCTCTCGGTCTCACCCTCGTTTGAACTCTAGAAATCTCTAGATACCTTTTTGCTCACTCTTCCAATCACGAGAGAAAATGTCCTTCCCTTTTATGTTTCCAATTTGCTCCTGTGCCTAGGGACACTTTCTTACAACTCTACACATTTATTTCGTGCGGCTCTCAGCTTTCTCACGCCCTATACCTCACCCCTTCAAGCTCACACTCCTCACTCCTTTTCGCCGCCATGTCGATGCCATCCACGACGACACCGACCAGACCTACGGGATTGGCCTCCATCGCTGGCCTACCTGCTGCTGCTCATGAGGTGCTTCATCGAGAACTCCTTCATATACACTCTTCTTTACACTTGATTCTTCTGATCTTACGTGGGCCTCTCGATTCCGTCACTCCCCCCATTGTGGACTCGATCACCTGCCCTCGTCTCAGCGCTACCCTTCGTGCACTGGAGACCAGCATTGAACAGATTCGACGATCTACCTGTACTACATTGGTCTACGCCGATGCACCTTGTTCCACTTTGGCATTTCCACATCCTATTGGCCAATCGGTTTCCTCTCCTCCATCCTTTTCTTCACCCAGACATTCGCTTATCCTCTTTCCCTCTCCTCCTTCTCCACCCGTGACGACGACGATGACTACGACCACGGATCCCTCTCCTCCTCAAGCCCCTCCTCCTTCTCTGACTCCTTCGGCTCCACCTTCAACCTTGACGAGGATGCCAAGCTCTCATTCGCCCTCTCGGTCACGATCTCCTCCGCGAAGATTCAGACTTTAGCCGATTTCTCACCAACCGAACCACTTAGTTTTTGCCGAGAAAAGCATTCTTTGTCCACTGTTTTCTGCTTGATGATTGATCACCCATTTTCATTTGATCCTTCGGTTATCTCACTGACTTTACTCCTATCTCCTTTCCTACGGTCTCTTCGGCTCTCTAGCGACTGCTCGTCTCGTTCCCGTGTTTCTTATCGCCTTTCCTGCCATGGCTTCGACATCTACACCACTTTGTGGTTTTGCACCGGTTCCAGGTCTTCCTCCTCGTGCTCAGGCTATGCTACACCGTGAACTTCTACTTGTACATGTCCTTCTGGCCCAGGTCCATGCATTACTCCACATCCCACTCAGCATTCGCACTATTCCGTTCATGTCTCGGGTGACACACCCACAACTTCGAGCTCACCTTGAAGGCTTGGACAATACGCTCCTCCTCGCTCTTCGTCTCAACCACACCGCTGTACACTACACCCATGAGCTCCTTACCGCCCTGGGCCTCCTTCATATTATTCAACAGAGCCCAGAACAACTTGAAGACGAACTTGAGGGCCGCACTGACTTTGGCGATCGGGCACCCCTCTCTACACAAACTGGTACGCCTCACTCTACGACGACTTCATCGCAAACTACCAGGACCCACAACACCACGGTCCGGACGCCCATCTCTCCTAGTCCTCCGCCCTCTCGCCATGTACCACGACCTCGTCTTCACATACGCTCGAGATCTCGCTCTCGCCCTCGCACGACCAGATCTTAGCCTCTCAGTTTCACCTCACACCTTGCCAGACAGCACAAAAGGACTGTATTGCACTGCGTATCATTCTGTTCACACTTTCCTTTTCTGACCTGTATGTTCAATTTCACATTATATTTCCTTCTCTTTCTTTATGGCTCTAGACCTTGGGACAAGCATCCTTACACGTTCAATGGCTTCTTTACACGTTGATTGGCATCTTTACACGTTGATTTTCATCTTTGTCACTCCGATTTCAAGGTGTTCTTCCTTTTACCTTTATCTCCGGGCGTTTTCTGACCTCATGGCGGGTTCTTCTCTGGAATCTACTCGTCCTCATTCACGACGTGATCTTTGCCGCGCCTCTCGCTCCAGGGATACCAGACCTCCTGCTCAACATGAAGAAGCTGATTACGACGCTGACGAAGTCACTCCTTTGCCACCCGGCACGGAAATTGCACGCGGCATTCCAGATCCACCACCACATTCTGATCCCGCCACGGGCGACTCTACTCACCACAACCTCACCACTTCCGCTCCACCCTCACACCCTCCTCCTCCCCAGGCTTCCTCCACTCCTACCTTTCCACCCACTCCACCTGCACATCTTACCGTTCCATTCTTCCCACCTCCACGCGTCCAAGCACCACGCCCACGACCTCCACTTTCTCACCCACGTGCCACGGGCCCACCGCCCCTCAATCCATACGCACCACGACCACATCCCAGGCAATCTTCTCACCGTGACCATCGCACATCACGAACGACACGTTCACCACTTGCACGACACCATGATCGACGACGTTCTCCCAGGAGCCGCTCTGTCCACTCTCGCCGACACCGTGGACGTCGACGCCGCTCACCTGCAGCATCACGCTCCCGACGAGACGACCGTCACCGTCGTCGATCCCATTCTCGGCGACACCGCTCTCGCACACACCAACGAGAGCCCCAAGAGCATCGTCGCACCTCCAACCTTCCCACAACACGTTCCAGATCTTGCCATTCCAGCCACCATCGCGGCAGAGCACGGGCCGATCACCCAACACACTTTGCGCGACACACCCGTCTCGCCTCCTACCTCCGTTCATCCTCCTTCTGACCGGGCATCTTCGGGGGCTCCCCCTTTGGTACTACTACCTGGCCCTGGCGATCAACCACATCCACAACCCACACCTCCTGATTCCGCCTCCATTCCACGACCTACCACTCCACCACAGGCATTTCAACCTCCTCCGGCCACACCACCTACGGCCCTCCCTGCCTCTGAAGCTGAGGAACTTCGCCAACTTCGACTTCAATTTCAACAACAACAACACGCCGCTCATCACCTGCAACAACAGGCTCTCTTTCACTCTCCATTCAATCCTTTCTTTTCTCCATTCCAGTTCTACCTTCCCCCAACCCCCGTACCCAGTCCCACAGCTCCACCTTCCCATCCACCAGCCAGTCCTCCACCCACCAACGTTCCTTCACCAGCTTCAGAACCGGCACCAGCAGGCGCGGAACCTGCCGACCTTTCCATCTCCCTCTTCCCCACTCAAGCTTCCACTCAGCCCCCAACTTCCACCCAAGCAGTTTCGACTCGCCGATCTCCCCATCGCCCAACTCGACCAGAGACTCCCCACTCTTTGGAACATTCCGCCAAACTGGGCTACTTCATAACATTATGGAGGTCGCTATTGAGATAGGTCCTCAGAAACAAATTTGGACCACACCTTTTTGGCTCCACATTCGCCCGTCTGGTCCTATTGACCTCTGGAACGAGATCTTTGAACACAAATTTCAAGACTGGAGTGCCCTTCTCGCCATGGTGAACAAGTTCCGCACCTACCTCATTGATAATATCCATCGACCTTTCAGCTGGGAAGAATGCGAAGCTCCTGAGATTTTGCCTCGCACACTCGTGGACACCACCATCCAAGAGCAGGTCCGCTTACTACCATTACCTCTCCGTCGCATCCCTGTGGCTTCTTGGGGTGACCACTTGGGGGACTTCATCACCACTCTCTCTCACGTTCCACAGATCCTTGAGAAGACGCCGGTATTCCTCTGGGGAAAGCTTCCGTGCCATGATGCTCTTTTTCTGCTCCTCAAGCTGGACTACCCCAAGACCGACTATTTTCAGTGGACTCCATCTCTGACCGCCTACACCTTCGTCCACAATTGCCCTGGCATTCCCCTTCGCGGTATCCTCACCGACGGTGTCATTCGAC